AATTTGTCCTGGTAATTTCCTACAACCAATTTTAGCAATGTCACCCGTGGGGGAGCCCATTGCCGCAATTAATTGATTTACCGACAAATTAGAAATGGAGGCCTTAGGAATTTTACAATTAACTTTAATTTAAAATCCCTTCTCAAACTTAGTATAATTTAATGAGGATTTTTAACTATTTATACAATTCCAAATTAATCTATGTTAATGCAATAATTAATTAACATGCATATTAATTCATGCAATTCTAAATTAATCTATGTCAATGCAATAATTAATTAACATGTTCAATAATTTATGCAATTCTAAATTAATCCATGCCAGAACATAATTAATTACATGCATAATTTATTGACACAATTCTAAATTAATCCTATGCATCACATAATTAATTAACATGCATAATTAATCTTGCAATACTAAATTAATCCCATGCAAGAACATAATTAATTAACATGCATAAATAATAATTTAATGGCATAATAAATTTAATTAAATAAATAAATAAATCCACTATTATGGCCATTAAATATTGAGTCTCCTTAAACAAGGAAACTGTGACAGTTCTTTTCCCTGTTCAACTGGAACTCCTTTAAGCAGTAGAATCCTGGTTGATCTTGTACTGCTTGGACAACAAGGCAAAAACACCAGCTACCAGCCGCCACCTGCCGCCGCCACCAGCCACCGCCGGTTCGCCGGCCGCCGCCACCAGTTCGCCGGAAAAACGCCGATTTTTTTTTTTATTAATTCTTCGAGGCTCGTTGATCTCTTGTGATCTCCCGGTTATCAACACACGATCACAACACGAAAAATATAATTTACAAAATTACATAATTCGATCCTAGATCCAACGAATGGATGTACATGTTTTCTAAACAAATAATTAAATCTATCCGGTCAACCCCCGGGCGAATAATTATTACAAACATTCATCCATAAATTCCTCGACATGCCCGAGGCTTTAAAAACAAATTTAAAACCATACATCACATTCAACAACATTCATCAAACACATAATCGGCCATAATAGTGGATTAACTATTTTCCTGCAAAACCGAGTTATGCAAATATAATCCAATATATGGCTGCGTTTGAACACATCTTGTCAAATAAAGCCGTAAAAATTCGAACTTTGTACAAAACGAATTAACCAAGTGCTCTGATACCACTTGTTGGGATCTGTGAGGATCTCGTTATGTACAAATCACGAATTCAATAGCAAACGTAAACCTATGCGCAGCGGATCTAAAGGTTTGACGTAGAGAACTTACGGCTTAAAATTTATGTAGATCTGGTTGACCACGAACGGTTGACCGCAATTGATTGACCGCAACACGCGTCTTGGGTTGCACGAACAAGATCAGATCAAAACTGGATCAAACGGATGCAAACAGATCAAAACGAAATTTTGCTGCCAGACACCTTCCGGCGGCGCGTGAGGGCGCGTGCGGCGTCGGATTCCGGCGACGTCGGCGGCGATGGAAAGCTCTCGTCGAGACGGTCGTCTGGGTATACTGTACGTCTCAATCGGACTTCCGGTTAGTTCTGTAGGTCAAAATCAATTTCGTCTCGGTTTACCTACAGATCTTCTACTGTATTACTCAATACACCCTTCTTCAACTTGTACCAGTGGAGCAACAAGAAGAAGATAAAGCTCGAATGAGATCTAGAGAGAGAGATGGTTTCACGTGAGAATGAGACTTCTATTCTCTTCTCATGAGCTTAATGATGTATATATAGAGCTACAGTAGGGACCCTAAGGAGATTAGGAAAAGGGCTCCTTAATTAATTAGACTAACTGTGGGCCAAACCCACTCCTCTAATTAATTAAATAATATTAATGGGCCACCAACATTATATTATTGCACTCCCTTTCCCTAGCCCAAATTACATTTGAGACTCCAATAATAATTACTCGATTTACCTCCCCACGTTTAAGATATAATGTCCATTAATTAATTCGATTACTGACAATCAAGAATTAATTAATTTATTATTATTTCACCGAAGCTAGCGCTCGTTCATCACATTCTTATTATGCCGGAATTTAATCCACCTGCAGGGTTTAGCATAACAATCCTTCATGAACTCACTCCGGGGACATCATCAAACTAACGCACATGGTGACCGTAAATATCCTAACAGCACATCCTATATATAATAATATTACCCAAAACAGTAGGAATATTAATCCAGCGAACTGAACCTCACCCATGTGAATCAAAGTAATATATATTATATATATCTGCCTGTTTAATATCTTACGGGTTAAGAGAACGCAGTAATTAACCGAGGCCTAGTTCATTTACGACGATCAGTATAAAATGAACTTCTCCTCTCTGGGATCCTGTTCAATACATAAATGTACTAGTGCAACTAATCAGTCAAGACAAACTGTACAGTTGACACTACAACCGTTCGGATGGGGTGTTCATGTCCATCTAGGTTGTGAACAACTATTCTTGTTCGCAAGTGACTGACAGAGTGATCTTCGGTTCGCCCGATGACGACCCACCCTATCTAAGTGCAGAACAACAGAACGTAGAACTTGTTTAATCTAACATGATTCTCATTCATAAAGGATAAATGTGTAATAACATGCAAAGCCAAGCTTTCAGTATATAACACTAACACCTCCTTCAAGAGCCTCCAATACCTTGTAATATGTCGAGAGGGGATCTCAGTGGAAAACTCTCCGACGTTTAAGTCAGAACTCGTACAATCGTATACTGTAGAAATATAACAAATAAGGTCTGGATTGCGTGTTGTGTAATAATAGAGGACCTGTCGTCCTTTTATAGAATTTAGTACCTTGGGGTCGAAGAGAGTTCTTGTAAGGGAAGAGATTCAACCGGATTTTGCTTCTCTAACTTACCACGTCTCTATCTTAGCAACAGTCCTTGAGCGAGCGATTATTTCCTTCTACTTGGATTCATTCCCCTTTATCCTTCAGTCGTAGTTCGACCTCCTAATCTGTCTGTCGTGGCCTTTCTGAGGATGTACCTGACCCTATCCTGAGGTCTTAATCGACCTTGTCTTTAGGTCTAATATGTCGTCAGACCACCCGACCTCGATATTGTCGGGCTCGACCTCCAGGTCAAGTCTGTTCAGTAAGGTCGACACCTTAAACCCTCACCCGAGCTACTTAACCGAGCATCTTATCTATGAATCTCCAGAAGTCTTTCGAGTCTGGCCTTAGTCGAGCTACTCTCTCGGACCGGTGTGTTGACCTACTCCTGAGTGCTACATCATCTAGCCCTCCCATTTCAGGACGAGATATCCAGACTTGTGCTGAAATGGACTTTGTGTCCAAAACTTTGTATCTGACCTTCTTCTTTTATTAATTTTACCAAACATCTCGGAAGAGCATGAGGTACCATAAAGATTCTTTGTATATGCTTAGATCTCGTTTTCTGACACATACACTGCATATGTGGATGCGCCTAACTAAATTCTTGGGAGATTCTTGAATCTTGTATTTTTTCCAACGGTCTTATATTTCCCAGCGGTAACTTATCTTGGGCTATAAAAATCCCTCATCTTACCCCCTTGTAGCTTACTTTGTTTTTTTCCTACTCGATTTCTCTCAGCGAAAAATCTCCCTCTATGTTATGAATTTTCGGTGATCTTATTCCGGCGATCTCTTGACATCCCTCTCTCGCTTTATGGTTATATTCTGACTTCTTTTTAACTTCTGTATTTTTATTCTTTTTTTCTTCTTCTTCGTCCAGCCCTGCTCCGCTCTTTCTTTCTTCTTGATATAAGAACTAACAAACCAACATGTACTTCGATACTTCGACCACTTTCTCTCAAGGACCAGAATGTAGCCAACGATGACAAGAGTCAACGTCTAAAAGACAGCGACAAATAGAGGTGGAGGTAGCCCACACGCGTCGACCAAATGTCACAATGCCACGACGGAGAGGTGGCACGTGAGCTTCACACTCGACGCCGATTGGGCTGAAAATTTTGGCAACGATTCGCCTCGAGATGCCGGAGAGGATGGCGGAGGTGGCGTGAATGAGAAATGGCTGGAGACGAGCGACGAGAGCCAGGTCTACATTGACCTTAACCCTAGTCTGATACCATGTAAAAATTTATGAAAATTATCTAATGTATGTTCATAAAGATATGTACCCATATATATAGATACAAAGATGGTCTTTAATCTTAAGTTAGACTTAAACCTAGCCTACAATACAAGAATACACGTTACATAATTAACATAAAAAAAGAATGTCCGCATTTTCCTTCAAAATTGAAAAGCCCTAACAAAGTTCCAACTTGGCCCAACTTTCATCAAATTTGAATCCATGTTTCTCCACAAGTTGGGCCGTGTTATCCTTTTGAGTTGAACACAAGCAAAGATAAATTTCTTCCATTTGGGCTAATATTAGGTTCTTTACATCAAAGTCCACACTAGAATAAAAAAGCTGTGCACAATGAATAACAGACTCATCAACATCAAGTCATTTTCGTACACATTAACATTTCCCTTTTCTTTACAAGCTGGTTACTGGATTGGTAATGTCAATGTTGAATTAGTTAAGAGTTGTGGTTTTGAAGCAACTGCTCTAATCTAATGACATCATTATAGGGAACTATGCTTTCACAGTAAAACACTCTGTTGTTTTTAATCCTTATTTAATTAAAATTATAATGATTCTATTCAACTAAAAACTAAAAAGCCTTTTTTTTTTTCTTTCTTTTTTCTGGTGGGCAACGGCAGCCAGCAGATCCTCCACCGCACCATACGT